ATTTCTGAACGACTGCAGTGTTCCCTGGACGGGGTTAAAATAATATTTCTACGGTATGGTTTGTGATGACTTCAGTTTCAGGAAGCTTAGATACAAATTAGGTAGCAGAAGCTCCTTTCTAAAAAGAGTGGCAATAGCTATTTATGCAACCATTTGCAAAAAGAAGATTTTGTCTGCACGAGTGCTGAAAAAGCGAATTTTGCAACGAGTTGCATACAACATATTGTGCACTCAAAATAGTGTCGGAAAGTAGTACTTTCGACACTATTATTGTAGATGGGAAAGTATGCCATTATATTATTCAAACCAGTGTCGAAAAGTGCTAAAAGTATTAATTTAGATCGTACACTGCAAAAAAAACATTTTTATACACTTTGAAATGTTCAAATTTTCATTAACCCACACTTGGATGTGAATTACTCAAAACACCTGGATTGCATTTACCGTAGAGTATAGCTGACGTTTGTCAGAAATCGATATAGCTGAAGTTCGTTCGAAATCAGGGAGACCCATTCTTGAGACACGATCCAGGTTGGAACTAAATCAAAAACAAATTCAGTATTAGAGACGTCACCACTAGCTCACTAGCGAAGACAACAAATCAAGAAGACTGGCAACTCTTCCATTTTCTCATACGAACGCTATGAGACAGGTACAATCGCGTCATCTGTCGCTCAAAGGTAAATGCTTCGAACGGATTTGAGAGCAAAGATTACATCCTCAGAAGAAAGGTTTGTGTATTTGCTCATTTTTCTATGCGTTGCTTCCACCTTCACTCAAGCGCAGCGCTATTGTATCTGTCGCTTGGATTCTGGCAAAGTTGCCAGTCTTCTTGATATGATGTCTTTGCCACTAGTGTAAATTTTGAATGTCTGCTTCTCCTTCTTCTTGGCTTTTCGACACTTCTTATGCGAGCGATTCACCGGCTATCAACTTAGTGTTATTTGAAGCACTGGTATTAAATGAGAGCTTTGTATGCCAACCAATTCAATGCATGAATGTGTATATTGTGGCTCCAGCACTAAATTAAAGTTTGTCTGACTTCCGACTTTCGTCCTTAATTCCAACCTTTACGGCTCAATGTTGGCATTTTTAAAAGTTCTTTCTTAGTACCACCAGTCGTGTCGGAAGTCATTTCATGGGACAAACACAATAGTACTCTATGCCCTGAAAAGTCGAGAACATGCCCATCCCTAAAAGTTATCTAGACCGTACCGGGAATCAAACTAGCCGACTCCGGTTTGGTAACACCGTGCATGAATTGACTAGGCTATCTGAGGCTCCATTGAATGAATTTGAATGTAATTTCAATGTAAACATATTGGATCTTTTCAGATCTAATGCTTTGCATAGTAGTATCTGCTCTGCAGCTGGCTGTAATGTCCTGCAGTAAGGAAACACCGCAAAACATGCAAACATACTGCAAGTTGGTGTCAGCCACTGTTACTGTGCAGCAAAAAAAATTTAGATCTGCTCCCCTTCTTGTTATGCTGAGAGCAACTGTAAGTTGCTGCTGAGAGAGAAAAGATTAGGAACGATAATCTTCCACAATTTTCTTGAAAACCAAAACCTATTCATGAAAGCCTTCTATTTCGTCGAACAGGTTCTAACCCTTTAGTCAGTTTAGTAAAAGGCCTGCAGATATCACATAATCTGTCAAAACGTATGGACGTACAGATACACATGCTAGATTGTTCATATACTTTTTGCGTACTAAAGTAACGCTTTCATTCATCAATATTTTCTACATCAACGAATGTGATGTGTGGTGCTCTTCTGTGAAATTGTAGCACATTTACGAAAACTGGATAACAGTAAGTTACCAACTTTCACAATCTCTCGCGTTTCGTTCCTGTTTTTTCTACAATGTTCTGCAGAGACGAACAGAGACGTACTCCAGTGAAAATTAACTTCTCATCCGGGTGCTGAATTCCAACGATTTTTTTAGCCCTGAATTGAATCTGAAATGCAGCTCATGTGACTGAAATGAGCTTCTGATGATTTTTTTTTTCAGATCTTTGAATTTGGCAACACAAATACGTGGAGCAAGTTGAATGGTTTTGCTGCATCATACCAATTATTTGACAACAAGCAGCGCATACCTTTATCACAAAATTCTGATCATTTAACGATAAACATAATGATGAGCACGTTCAAATAAAATGATAAATTTTTGTAAATTATTGAATTTCCCGGTAACTTTCGAGTAGTAAAAATTAAAAGAGTACTACAATGTAATCTAAACCGGGGAGCTTTCAAAATAATAAAATTAAATCATAGATCTGCATCACAACAAATGGTATTTTTCCGCTCTCATACGCTCTTAATATCACGCGTGATATTGGAACAAAATATCATGCTTGATATTGATTTTACAAGCTCCTTTGATATTGCCAGACTATTCACAACGTGTAAAAATAAAGTTACTCTTCACCGATGGCAGACGCGAAGTGATTGCTGCCAGCCGTTATGGAAGTTTCGGTTGCGTTCGGGTGTAAAGCAAAAATCATGAAACTCGATCTGACCACAGTTTGTTGAGATTTGCAGCTGGTGAGTTTTGTTAGCTTGATATTCCGATCTGCGATGTCACAGCTTGCAAAACCAACCACAGCAGTTTGCTTGTTGATTTTTGTCTACGAAAATCAAGCGTGATCTTGGGCATTGGTGAGATTTGATTTTTTTGATATTTTCCCAACACTGCTTGGAATGATATCCCCCCGCATAGAACATAAGTATAAGTTGTGCCTGGATATCCCAACCTTATTGATACGAATCACTTCGTTATAAAGTTTAATTTTTGGAATTATGAAATCATTAGATGTTATAATGATACAAGAAGAGGTTGTAAAGTATTCGTTTGCTACGTAAAACCTGTCAATTTCGCTTTCAGAGAGTCATAATCAGCGATTTTATCATCCATGAGTATTGACTCAGAGTGAGCGCTCACGAATCATAAAATCGTCAATTGTGACTCTCTAGAATTAACACCTCAACTACAACCTTTGAAACACATTTCATCGCTCCCGGAGAGTATTTTATAGCATTGTTATATCTGATATACATTTATTCCATAAATATAATCAAAACTGCAACAGGCCGATTTGAAAACGAATAATTAAAATCTACATTACTCTACTTTGATAATGTTGCAATTTTGATTGAAACAACGCTCGTGAAAATCATTCGTATCTCTTTTCACCATTCTGTAACACACAAATCGGTGTCCTGTTTCTTTCATGCTAATTGTAAATGAACTAGGTTACGAAAGCGATTCGGGAAACTCAGAGTAGGTTCGGGAAAAGGAAAGAAAATCGTAACCGGATGACATCTTTCGCATGTTCACTTGCTGTCACCTGCTCGAGTTTCCGCTCGCTCATGATGCTTTTTACTTTTACTAAAACAAAAAATAAATAAACATTAGGATAGCGAAGACACCAAACTTGAAAATATACCATAAGATAGCTAATCGAAGTGTTTCGCTAATTGAGATTAACCAGTAAACGAAATTGTGTTACGATAGACATGGAAATAAGAACTGCGCTTGCTCTCTCTACGTTGTAAGCAAACCAGTAACCATTTTCAAAGCCATTTTTAGTGCAACCATCTCAGTGATAGTAACCAGTTGTATAGTCGGATTGTTGAGATCGATTTGTTAGAATAGTTAGCGCACCGAATAGTTCTAGACCTAGTATCCGCCCTTGAAGTAAACTGTCAAACTAGCTTCTTTTATTTGCCCATCTAGAATAGGCATCCAAAGCCGAAACCGAATCTACTTCTTTTGTAGGACACCAAACAGCCCACCCCCTTCAGATCTAGTCCCACCCGATTTTCGGTTAGCCAAGCCTCCAACCATGTACTTCAACCAAAATCGAACCATTTGTACGTTCCGTCACGTCAAACTTTGCTACACTACACACGATTACACTCTAGTACTTTAGTTATTGTCACCCCCACCTTCCTATCGAAACGCCCCCACTATCTGTTTTTTTCATTTCCTTATTTCTCCACTAGTACTACTTTCTAATGCTCAAATCTTCACACTATTAACCGTTCAAAACTGTCGACGAGCTCTAGGAGTAAGACCCGATGTCTCGTTCCGTTTCGCTCAAATTACGAGCGATCCATCTAACGCCACTTTCTTGTGTTCAAATTTCGGAAATTTTCGTTGAAATTTCACCTCACTGAGCGACAAACCCTAAAAAATATGCAAAAGCGCTTCGCGTCTCTCTATCTCTCTATCTCATCCCGATAATTCAACAAACAAGCCGCGCGTTCTTATCCCATACAAAAAGGACTCCAAGATATACTACCACAACAACGTCTTCAGAAAAACTACAACGCAATCAAAATTCAAAGCACTGCTGCAAACATTTTTTTGCGTGCGCTTCCGAATTATCTTATTTGTTAGTATCGTTTCTGCATCTCTCTGCTGACGAACGTTTTTTTTTTAAATATTACTTTTTTATGTTTTGTACGCAACGTTCCTAAACAGTTTTGCTCTATCTCTCGATTGGTTATGCTACTAAAAACAAGTAAACCAATGCTCTATATAAATATATTTGCTCGCAAGTTTTCGTTTGTACCGCCTAATTATCTGCAAATATGTTTTCGTTTTTTCGACTACTATCAATAACACGTTTTTCTTATCAAAACAAGCCGCTTCAAGGACAGTTTTTATTTGTTGCCAAATTTTTTTACCGATTCACTGCAACCGTGATCGATGTGTTTTTATTACTGATACTTCTAACTAAAACTAAACGCAAATTTTTACCTTTTGCATATTTGTTTGTTTTCGTTCTTTGGCAAGCAACTAAAACGTTTAATTAGCATACTTTTTGCAAAAAAAAATCAAAAAAAAAGCTACTAAAATGCATTTGAAGCAAAACTACCATTTTTTTTTTATTTAAACAAAAGCTACTAGTAAATCCAAACTTTTAACCTACAAAACATTCAAAACCCCAAAGAAAAGACAAACATCAATTAGCAGATAATGTCTTTAGGTATGTCGCGAATTCATGCGCGGTGCCTGCAAGCGAGCGGAGTCCGAATGCCGTTTTGCACATCCGCAGGACAGCGTTACAACACACGAAGACGGTTCCGTCACGGTGTGCATGGATGCCGTGAAGGGTAGATGCGCTCGTGAACCTTGTCGCTACTTCCATCCTCCTTTGCACCTGCAGGCTCAAATAAAAGCAGCGCAGTCACGCGCAACCGCGGTATGGCTACCTTTAATACAAAACCAAAAAAAAAAGAAAAACATATTTCTTCTATCGTTTTTCTGTTTTCTTTATATCTGTTCTTTTTTCTCTCATTCTTTCAGTTTGGCGTCTAATCACTAACAATATCTTTCCACCTACTTATCTTCCATCTGACTATGTTTTCCATTCATTCTAAATCCTTTGGTTTGCCATTTTATGTAAATTCTGACATTGATCTTTTGGTTTAGATTTAATTTTTCCTCTTTTTTTCTGTTGTTGTTGTTTGAACTTCGAAGTACACATCTTCTTTCGAGACCGATGGTTTGAATTTTACGTTTTACTAACACAAACACACGCGCACTCCAACGTCACTGCCCTCTCACAATTTCATCTTTTGACCTCCTGGCACCAGAGCACACTTGCTGTGTAGCTGATCCCACCACAAGCCCGTCCTCTAGTTCCTAACGCTAAATCAATCGTAGAAATGAGAAAATCATTCAACACCACAGTAGATTCCGTCCAAATTATACTAGAAACCAACCAGATTAGCCAGTAGAATAGCACAAAAACAGAAGAAGACAATGAGAAAGAAAGTAAGAGTTTTCGTTTACCGATTTAAAGTCAGAGACATCTACTCGTCAGCATCCTACCGTGTGATCCGATCTATTGAAATCCGACACAAACTTGCAAACGCTCGCTATTAAGCCTTTGTGACGTATAGATGTCGCTACACCGAGGCAGCTGAAATCTCATCTCTTCGTAGCCCGCTTGCGTGTGCTGCCGCTATCTCTGTTTGTTCGAAGCGCTGATATTTTGAGTTCTCTACACTTCTACCACCGACAAACTGACATAAAACTTAAAACTAACTTTCGCTCAAAAATCTATGACGCCCGATACAAATGTGCAGCGATACCATCAAACCATAGAAACTTTTCATCTAGATAAAAATAACCTGTCCAGAATAGATCAGACACGAACCAATCCATACATTTTGCACTCGTGTTCATGGCTTAGATAAACGTTTTCCGCGAACACGGAGACAGAAGTCAGTAGTGTGCTTTGAGCTGAAATTTCGTGGTAATTTCTATGGTCATTCATGTCGGTTTGTCGGTGCTTCTACATGCCATAAAGAAGTTCATTCCGTACTTTCAATTGAGATTTAAATTGTTTCATTGAATCAAGGCCATCGCGTTGCGTGCTCTCAAATGCCAGCCAGTTAATTTGGTCTCTTTCCTGGTGCTGTTTTACTATCTTTACTATACACCGTCTCTTTCTTTCTTTCTCGTTATAGTTAGAGTTGTGTCCATTTTAAATGCCACCGTTTCCTCATCCTTCGCTCGCCGAAATAGTGTTCAATAATTTCCCCCTCAGTTGAAAGATCCGATCCAACGGTTTTGCGGCGGAACATTAAAATGCATGTAGTTCTGTGTTCTATCCCAATCTTAAACCGATTCCGCGACCCTACCATCATCCATCATCGCACAACGAAAGTATTCCCATTATGTCATCCTGATCCATTAGGACAGCTCATCAACAAATTTCCTCCATGGAGTTTCGATCGGCGAAAACTATTAGGAGGACATCTGTTGCACCTCATCATGATATTTGTAATTAGGCAATGTTAAGTCAAAAGCGTCTCGTAGAGTAGAGATATCAATCCAGATTTTAAGAATCGTAGAGTAGATCCCTTAGGGAGGTCATAGTTTACATTAAAATTTCCGTTGACTGTTCTGCTATCCTTCAGTCCGAGAGAATAGTATATGTAGTTGCAATTCTAAGATAAATGAAAACGAACGACACATATTTCAGGAAATTGCTTCATCGTTAGAGAACTATCCGCGGAAGGCCCGAAGCTTTTCTCGAATAATAGCCATGAATGAATCTATTATAAAATCATGAATTTATAATGTTTTCAGAGACAGAGATGTACTTAAGATATGCAAAATTGGCTCCATCCTTCAATGGGGACAAACATAACTTGAGTAAAATGGGTTTTATACACCCCTAGTTTTATAGGGTTTCAGAAACAGTTTCATGCATCAGAAGTCGCCATTTTTATTGGCGGAAAGGCCAGATCCCATTTCGCGATATGAAGTTAATTGTATGACCACTGAAACTTATGATGAAAACTGAATGCAGATTTATAGTTTAATTGCATTAACACGAAACTAAAACGGTCAAAACTTTCTTATTGTGTAACTTTTTGCATATTCAATCATAAGGTATCATCCAACTACTGTAAAGAACTACAGTAAAATTACTAATATATTAGCTAAACTATTGTTTAACCAGATTGACAGAGAAGGAAAAAGATCGCACAGTTGCATATGAAGTTTACTTCCTCGATGAAATTTGAGAGCTGTCAAAAACTTCTGCATCGTCTGCAACTCTCAATGTTACAACTAAATCTATTCACAGCAAAAAACTATACGGGACATCCTATGGGGTTGTACGCAAAGGTGGCGTAGGACTACGTGGTCTTATATAATAAATCTTATTTGTTAACTGCAGCAGGAGCTTGTGTTTTGTGTAGGAATAGGAATTTGAGCGGAGTTCACTCTGTTTACACTCTTTAGTATGACGCGCTTGACATAGAGGCCCCACAGCGACTCACGAAGAGCGACTGATTCAAATCAATAGCGGTGCGGCTTCTTCCTCCTATGGATGGTAATGTGGGCTGCAGTTTGCTGCTTTCAGGCAGTCTTTCATTGTGTACTGGAGAACAACACCACTCACCACGAGGTGATTGAATAAACACCGTTTGGTGAGACCAGATGGAATTCAACTTCGAAATCTGTGTTAGGGAAATCGCTTTTCGGAAGCCATCGGTAATAATTTTAATTTTCATAGCAACAGTTATACATTCGTGCAATTCTCTGCCTTCAAGAACAAGGTATGTTAGATTTAAACATATCTAGATAGAGCTGGAATTAGGCGTAACAGCTTTTGTACATAATGACTTCTCTCGATGATTTTTATGAATTCAAGACACGCCCACGCAAACCAACATTACCGTCGAATGGACTTCCCTTACCGTAACTGATGATGATGTTGATTTGCGTGGGCGAGCTATGACTTTCAATACATCATCAAAATAAGTCATTGTTATCAAAAGTTGTTACTCCCTTATTCCAGCTCTATCTTGATATGGAAACTGACATCCGGCAAATGTCCAAAAAATACTCTTTTACAAATTTATGGTGAACCTGAAAAGGACCCTTTTGTCGTGATGCTAATGCTGAGCTATTAGGTTGTTCAACACGGATGAGGCTGGTGAGATGTATGTTGTTTGGAATGCGGGACACGCGCTTGGCATAGATGGCCCACAGTGAGTCACGAAGATCTATTCCGATCAATAGCGGTGCGACTTCTTCCTCCTTCTATGTATGCACATGTGGGCTGCAGCTCACTGCTTGTAGGCAGCCTTTCGTTGTGTACTGGAGAACAATGTTCGACGCCACACGCCGAAAGCACTGCTGCTTCTACTGATGCCGACGACCGGACACCAACACACACGGTGATTGGACTGAATCCAATCAGCGGTTGAGGGCAGCCTTGATAGCTAGCTACTTGCGGGGAGCTCACTTTAAACTAGGGAACAACGAATAGAATCTTAGGAATTACATAGATGAAGACTAACTAACTCATTTTTTCCTTGTTTCAAGATCATCCTCGGTGGACAAAGCCGAGTGTTGTCACTATCAACAAGGACTTAGATGTGTTCCTTGGATTACTGAAAAATGCTGCTCCCCTAGTTTGAAGCAGTCAGGACTAGGAATGGGTAGGAGATCTTACAATCCGTAACGTACCACGAAAAGGTGATCTACCCACGTTACGGGGCAATGAGTGATTCAAATCTCGACAAAGATATCGTATCAAAAAGACTAGGAACTTGGCCAGAATCAAAGCGACAGCAAATATATGATACAGTGACCACCTGATTTCGGTAGCCCCCTTTTCTAATATTCTACGTAACCCATGTACTTTTTCAGTTAAACATCCATCTTGAATATGAATGAGAAGATTGCGGTTATGTCAAATTATTGAAAGATAAAAGTTTGATGCGCGGAGATGCTCACAAAATCGGCTACTATTACTGTGTGTGACAAAATGCGCAAATAAACAAACTTTTCTTCATAGGTTTGAATAATTGAATCTTTGCTATAAATTTCTGTCATCGATTAATTCCAAGATGGAAGCAGGGTTACCAGATATACAGATATTTCTGTATTTTATAGATGTTCTTGTTCATTTCTTGGCTAATAATCTGTATATGCAGATATCAAAAATCAAAATTAGGATGCGATGTTGATTATAAATATATTACGAGTTAAATTTCTTTGTCATGATCTTCCGCTAAATTCAACGTTCACTACTCTGAACAAATATGATATATTCCCGTTATATCGAAGTCTAATAAGCTTTGCACTATAAGAAAATCCAATGAAAACGGCATGATTGAAAACGTGCCAGGTAAATGATTTATGAATATTTGATACATTAACAATGCTGATGAGTTGATAACTTTTATATGATCGTAATATGATAAATGAAAATCGTTTATATTATAAGAATTAACTGAAATGGATTTGAAACCCAACAGCAAACACTTTACTTTTCACTACAATATCATAAAAATGCATTAATCAATCTAATTAAAGTGTATATGAAAATCACATGACATTTATATCTTGTTTAGATTCATACATTTTATCAATTCTAAAAATAAATCGAAAAATAAACAACAGGCAGTGGGAGCTTCCACAATTGCGTCTTTTTTATTATTGTAATTGATTTGTGTAGTGCTATCGGTGTCGCTCGGTTCCACTGGGCCACAGCTGACTTCAATATTGAGCTCGTTCAATTAGCATAAAGTCATAACAACTCTTTCGACATGGAATGGTAGTGCAACGTTATGCTCGTTTTACTAGACTGAGAAAAATAGCACTGGCAAATTTATGTCGTGCCGAAACCGTGTGTTCAAATCTTTCTTAACGCCCCTATGGACAATAAAACAA